TTATAACTCTAGTAATTGGCCGAGATCATGAGCAAGCAGCACAAAAACAGTCAGACTATATTATCTTACTTTGGTGACAAAGAAGATCAAAATACACAACCAGAAGAAGACAATGAAGCCAAAGCTCCTATATCCAAAGCCTCCAAGAAAAATATGAATTGGTCCCAGGCCATGGAAGAGCTCAAAAAAGATTTTGAGAAGCAAGTAAGAGAAGTAGAGGAAAAAGTGAGAGTGATGCCAAGGGAGACCCAAAAAAATACTGAAGAAAATAATATCTTAAAAAGTAGCCTAACCCAAATGGCAAAAGAGGTCCAAAAAGCCAATGAGGAGAAGAATGCCCTAAAAAGCAAAACTGGCCAAATGGAAAAGGAAGTCCAAAAGCTTACTGAAGAAAATACTACCTTAAAAATTAGAATGGAGAAATTGGAAGCTAGTGACAAATTGAGAAATCAAGGCACTGTAACATTAATCCGTAAGAACGAAAAAATAGAAGAGAATGTGAAATATTACACTGGAAAAACAACTGACCTGGAAAATAGAGCCAGGAGAGAGAATTTAAAAATTACTGGACTACTGGAAAGCCATTATCAAAAAAAAGAACCTGGACATCATCTTTCAAGAAATTATCAAGGAAAACTGCCCTGATATTTTAGAACCAGAGGGCAAAATAGAAATTGAAAGAATCCACTGATTACCTCCTGAAAGAGATCCCCAAAGGAAAACTCCTAGTAATATTGTAGCCAAATTTCAGAGTTCCCAGGTCAAGGAGAAAATATTGCAAACAGCCAGAAAGAAACAATTCAAGTATTGTGGAAACACAATCAGGATAAGACAAAAATTTGGCAGCTTCTACATTAAGGATCTGAAGGGCATGGAGCATGATATTCTGGAGACCAAAGGGGATAGGGCTACAACCAAGAATCACCTACCCAGCAAAACTGAATAAATTCCTTCAGGGTAAAAAACAGTCATTCAATGAAATAGGGAACTTTCAAGCATTCCTGAGGAAAAGACCAGAGCTGAACATAAAATCTGGCTTTCAAACACAAGACTCAAGTGAAACATGGAAGAGGTAAACAGGAAAGAGAAACCGTGAGAGACTTGTTAAGGCTGAACTAGTTAACATTTCTGCAGGGAAAGATGATAACTTGTAACTCATAAGTCCTTTGTCAGTATTACGGCAGTGGGAGGGGAAAAAAATTATATGTATGTATAGACAGGAAGATAGATAGAGGTCACAGGGTGAGTTGAAGATGAAGGGGTGATATCTGGAAAATAAAATTAAGGGGTGAGAGAGGTTTATACTGAGAGAAAGAGAAAGGGAGAGGTAAAATAGGGTAAATTATCTCACATGAAACAGAAAAGAAAAGGCTTTTGCAGTGGAGGAGAAATGGAAGAAGGTGAGAGGGAATGAGCGAATCTTATTCTCATAGGATTTGGCTTAAGGAGGGAATAACATACATAATGGGGTATGGAAATCTATCTTACCCTACAGGAAAATAAGAGGGGAAGGGGACAAGAGAGCAGGGGGTTGATAGAGGGGAGGGCAGATTGGGGGAGGGGATTAATCAAAAGCAAACATTTTTGAGGAGGGACAGGGTCAAAAGAGAGAATAGAATAAATGGGGGGTTGGATAGGATGAAGGGAAACATACTTAGTTTTTCACAACACGACCACTATGGAAGTGTTTTGCATGACTACACATCTATAACCTGCATCGAGATGCTTTCCTTTTCAATGACTGTGGGTGGGGAAGGAGGAAGGGAGAAAATTTGTAACCCCCAAGTTTTAAAAACACACGTTAAAAATTTAAAAAAATTAAAAAAAATCTAATCTATTCAACAAGTTTGTATGCCTCACAAAAGGAGTAAACACTAAGCTCATGACAATGTGATTGCCACTTGCAGCAAAGTGCCATGCCACCATCATCAGTGCATATGCTCTCATTGTAATGAACCCTGATGAGGTAAAAGAAAAATTTTATAAAATGCTGGAGACCTTTATCATCAATGTGTCGAAAGAGGACAAGTTTATAATTCTGAATGACTTTAACAGTCAAATATTATTGAAGATTTGTGTATCTCATGACCTCAACAAATGGATGCACCTCACAGCAAGCATTGGTATTTAATAGACTATGTCATTGTAAGGAGAAGGGTCAAAACAAGTTATGAGAGAGATGAAGGCAATGTGTGGTGCAGAGTACTGGACCAATCACAGACATCCTCTCTAAGCTAAACTTTTGCACTCAACAAAAGCCGTGGCCTCAAGGCTGCTGGATCCCTACTCTATTCCAATCAGTATTAATCAGTTTGATATTTTACATAAATCATATAGGGATAATTAGATAAGATAGGTTCTTATAGTAGGCCTCAAACTTTAATGTTTACTACCTGTTTACTAGTTATGAAGCTCACTTGTGCAATGCTGACAAGGATACCTCCATCCTGTTTTGCTCAAATCTGATGTCCAAACCCAGCATGAGTGGATACCTTGATCCTTTGGAAAGTCTCTCAACTTATTTTTGTACCTCTGGACCACCCTTCCTTGTGCAACATGAGCAGGTGACCATCTTATGACCATTTGGCCACCAGAGATGACTTGCCTTGCTCATCTTACTTTCTGGCCCTCAAGAGCAAGATCTATTAACCAATGAGAGCCTGTATTTTACCATGCCTCTTTCGCTTATTTGGGTATCAAACCTTATAAAAACAAGGTCCTGGGACAAGGGGCATCTCAGATTATGAGGAAGACTGAGGTGCACTTCATTAGATGGGATCATGGATCTTTTAACAAAGTGCCACTGGCACAGAGTTCTGCCTCAATTTCTTTTATTGTAGGCTGGGCAATTTAAAACTCCACAGCAGAAAAGGAGGGGACAGCTTACACACAGTTGGTATATATATGTAGCACTGCACTTATATCCACATGAGATGATAGGCAAGTGAAGACTCATGACATAATCATATGTTGAAGCCTTTGACTAGCTTACAGGCAATACATTAATAGAATTTTGGCTCAACTTTAATGTGATCTAATATCATTTTATAATTTGCACTTAATCAAATTTTGTATTATTTGTAATATAAGTAATTATTTATCATAAACTAGCTGTAAATGCTAGCTATTTAGGATTATTTAGTTTCCAATTAACTTTGAATCCTTTCATTAAATGCCCTTTAATGAATATATTTTTATTGTGTTGTAGTCAATAAAGGATTGTTTTCTGCATTTGTTTACAAGATCTTCATACCCTAGCATACAGTCTACTTGTGTAAAGGTATCATGTACACAATTTTAAAATACATAAATTCCTTTTTATTACCAGTCACCAATCGCTACAGATCACAACACACACGCACACACACACACACACACGGTTTTTCTAAAATTCTTTTCAGATACTTTAGATACTTTGTCCATCTTTTTGATAGATATATCTAGTTCTGAAGAGGGCAAATGTTGTGTTCCCCAACTATTAAGAGTTTTGCTATTTCTTCCTGTAATTTGATTATTTTCCTTTAAGTACTTAGATGCTATGCCAGTTTGTGTATATGAGTGTGTGTGTGTGTGTGTGTGTGTGTGTGTAATGTGTACAGACATAAAAAGTGTTGACATCATTTCATTGTTTGTGATGTTGTTAAGAACAATGTTGTTTCCCCATTTATCTCTTGTAATAGTATCTATTTTTACTGTGACTTTGTGTGATATCATGGCCATTTACCTGTTTATATGAGTCTGCCTGAAGCATAAGAAATGCTCTGCTAACTCAATTTAAACTCTGTGTGAATCTTTGATGTTTCAAGAGTTATCTCCTGTAAAAAGTATGTTGTTGCATTCTGTTTTCTAATCCAGTTTGCTATCCTCTTCCATATTATGGAAGAGTTCATCCCCATCACAATCATTATGACTGTTGATTGTGTTCTTCCCTCCAACACATCCTCTGATCATGCCACTCCCTACACAATAAACTAAACGGCCTCCCTATTACCTCCAGGATCGAATATAGAATATAGAGGCTCTTTGGCATCCTGTAGATATCCATTTATTTACATGCCTCCTTCATTAGAATGTAAGCTCCTTTTTTCGTTTGTTGCCCCTCCAGAATATGACAAATTCACATAGAATTTAAATGAAGATTTGGAACAGCAGGGATGAAGGCAGTATGGCATAGCAAGAAGATCAATGAATTTGGATTCAGAAGACCTATGTTCAAATTATGGCACCAGTATTCACTGGCTGTATAGATCTTCAGTAAATCACTTTACTTTCCTGAGATTTAGTTTCTTCATCTATATAATATGAATAATGCTAACTGCTTAGCTTACCTTGCAGGGCTGTTGTGAGAATCAGAGTATGTATATTAACTTTTATTTGTTAAAGTGCTATATAAATTAAGGTAAGCTATTATGAAGACTTAGAAGGTGTAACATTTCCTCCTATTGCTACTGCTTTGTTTTAGTTTAAAACAACATTTATTCTATGGCTCTAATAGTCTGATAATATGAGTGATTCATTCAATGCTCCTTCCTTTTCTCATTTATAATTAATTAGGTTAGTATATTAATGACATCAGTGGGTTTGCATTCTTGTAAAATTATTTCCCCTTTCATTTACATTCATATTTATTTCTTCCTAGGTAAAATAAGTCTTTCAACCATACCCACAAATTACTAAATGACAAATGACTTGCTCTATCATGAAAAAATGAGAAAAAAGATAAAGTTATTTTTATTTCCACAGAAAAGAATCTCTAAGACTAGTCCATTTTCAGTAATACAGCAAACCAAGAAATACTTGGACTATGCTCTTCTTATTGTACATGGAACAATCACTATCAGTTCTTTATTTCTAATACAAAGAGTAACACACATTTAAAAGCAATATTGTAAAAGAAAAGATGAGGAGAAACACTAGAACCATATTTTTACTAGCTGAATTTTATGGGAACTCAATCTCTAATGGTTTATGACATTTGTCACATGAAATATTTTACTTACATATTCTCCATAAGTCTCTTGTGTTGGTGGTGGGGGAGGAGGCCGGTATCCTGTTGGGGGCACTCCTCTTGCTCTGGGGGTAAGAAGTCCTCTACCACGACTGACTGGACCTCGACTAGGAGGGACTCCTCTGGGAGCTGGGGCACCTCTTGGTACACCTGCTGGCCGGGGTGCAACACCTCCTCTTCCCCTATGAACAAGATAATTAATTAACATTTCATCCTAGCACACCTGAATTTTATTCTCCCCAACTTTGGCTGAAATAAAAATAGGAACACACTGATAATCAGCTTTTGGAGGGGGGGAAAGCAATTGTTGCCTTCTACCAAAAAGCAACAAGATTTCATTCACTTGGCAATTATTTACTGATTTCCTATATGTGTATATAATTGTGCTTGACACTTACTGGGATATCAATTAAGTAAAGGCATAACCCATATATAACTGAGCAAACCAATGTAATTTTGTAAAACTTGAATATGTCATCTCATCAATTTGGATGTCCCCTCTAACAATACAGACTGTTGAAGCTTGCTCACACAGACCATACTCTTTTCCATATACACTCGTGTTTAATTCTTCATTCCTTTTTAATACTTTTCCAATTACACATAAAGACAATTTTAAACATTTATTTAAAAAAAACACTTTTGAGTTGCTAAGTTTCTCCCTGCCTCCTTCCCTTCCCCCAGCCCTAAACAGTAAGCAATTTGATATAGGTTATATATGTGTAATCATGTAAAACATATTTCCGTATTAGTCATGTTGTGAAAAAAGAAACTGACCAAAAGGGAATTATTTTTTAAGAAAAGGCAAAAAAAGTATGTTTTGATTTATATTCAGTCTCCATCAGTTCTATCTCTGGAGATGAATCTCCACAAAACCTCCTAAGTCCTTTGGAATTGTCTAGGATCACTGTATTGCTGAGAAGAGCTAAGTCAGTCATAGCTGATCATCATACAATGTTGCTGTTATTGGGTAAAATGGTTTAATGGTTCTCTCATTTCACTTTACATCAATTCATGTAAGTCCACATTTTTCTGAAAGTATCCTGCTCATCTTTCCTAATAGCACAACAGTATTCTATGATAATCATATACTACAACTTGTTCAGCCATTCCCCAACTGATGGTCATCTCATCAATTTCCAGTATTGTGCCATCATGGAAAGGCCTGCTAAAACTATTTTCATATTTGTGGGTCCTTTCCTCTTTTTTATGATCCCTTTAGGATACAGACCTAGTAGTGGTATTGCTGATTCAAAGGGTATCCACAGTTTGATTGCCCATTGGGTATAGCTCTAATCTGTCTCTAGAACAGATGGATAAATTTACAACTCCAACAATGCATTAGTGTCCCAATTTTCCACATTCTCTCCAACATTTAAAATTTTTCCTTTTCTCTCATTTTAGCCAATATGATAGGTGTAAGGTGGTACCTCAGAATTGTTTTAATTTGCATTTCTCTAATCAATAGTGATTTAGAACAGTTTTTCTTTAACTATAGTTTTGATTTCTTCATCTGAAAAGTGCCCATTCATATTCTTTGACCATTTATCAACTGGGCAATGACTTACATTTAACACAGTTCTCTATATATCTGAGAAATGAGGCCTTTAACAGAGACTTGTAAAAAATTGTTTCCCAGTTTTCTGCTTTCCTTCTAATCTTGGTTGCATTGGTTTTGTTTGTGCAAAAACTTTTTAATTTAATGTAATTAAAATTATCCATCTTGAATTTCATAATGTTCTCTATCTCTTGTTTGATCAAAATTTCTTCTCTTCTCTGTAGATTTGATAGACAAACCATTCCTTATTCTCCTAATTTGCTTATGGTATCACCCTTTATGTTTAAATAGGGGGTATGGAACCTGCAGCCTTGAGGCCACAGGACTCTAAATCATCTTCCTATAACTCATTTAACTTCTCCTTTAGAAATTTAGATGCCATACCATTTGACACATATGCTTACAACTGATATTACTTCATTGTCTATGGTACCTTTTAGCAAGATGTAGTTTCCTTGTCTCTTTTAATTAGATCTATTTTTGCTTTTGCTTTGTTTGAGATTACAACTGCTACCCCTGATTTTTTTTTAAACTTCAGCTGAAACATGGTATATTCTGCTCCGGTGTTTTACCTTTACTCTGTGTATATCTCACTGCTTCAAATGTGTGTTTTTTTTTTGTAAACAACATATTGTAGGATTCTGGTTTTTAATCCATTTCTGCTATCCACTTCCACTTTACAAGTGAGTTCATCCTATTCACATCGACAGTTATGATTACTGTGTATTTCCTTTTATCCAATTTTGCCCCCGTTTATAGTTTTCTCTTTCTCTCCTTTTACCCTGTCCCTCCTTACCAAACTGCCCTCCTTTTTATCCACCTCTCCGTCCCCACTTTCTTGTCTACTTCCCCTCTTACTTCCCTACAGGATAAGATGGATTTCTATATCCAACTGAATGTGCATGTTATTCCCTCTTTGAGCCAAATCCAATGAGACTAAGGTTCAAGCAATGTTGACTGCCCCCCCTCCCCCCTTGGTCCTTTCTTTCCCTCCACTGTAATAGGTCTTTCGTGCATCTTCATATAATTTACCTCAGTCTGCTTCTCCCTTCCCTCTTCTCTGAGGGCAATCCTTTTCCTAAACCTTTAATTTTTCTTTAATATCATCCCATCAAAGTCAACTTATACCCAATACCCTCTATGTATACTCCTAATTGTCCTAACAAAGATACAGTTCTTAAGAGTTACAAAGATCATCTTTCCATCTTTCCAGTTTAACCTTACTGAATAACTTAGGGTTTTTTTTTCCCCCTTCCTGTTTAGCTTTTCATACTTCTCTTGAGTCTTATAGTTGAAAATTAAATTTTCTGAGGCTTGAAAGTCCCCTATTTCATTCAATATCCATTTTTTACTCTGAAAGACTATGCTCAGTTTTGCTGGGGTCGTTGATTCTTGGTTATAATTAGAGCTTCTCTGTTTTCAGGAAAACATATTCCAAGTCCACCAATTCTTTAGCGTAGAAGCTACTAAATCCTGTGTAATCTTGTGACTCTTCAATATCTGAACTGTTTTTTTCTAGCTGCTTACAGTATTTTCTCCTTGACCAGACAGTTCTGGAATTAGGCTATAATATTCCTGGGAGTTTTCATTTTGGGATCTCTTTCAGGAAGTGATCAGTAGATTCTTTCAATTTCTATTTTACTCTCTGGTTCTAGGATAACAGGGCAGTATTCTTTGATAATTTCTTGAAAAATGCTGTCTAGGCTCTTTTGTTGATCACGGCTTTCAGGTAGTCCAATAACTCTTATATTATCTCTCCTGGATCTATTTCCAGGTCAGTTGTTTTTTTCAAATGAAATATTTTACATTTTCTTCCATTTTTTCCCATTCTTTTTATTTTATTTAATTGATTCTTGATGTCTCATGAAGTCATTAGCTTCCACTTGCCCAGTTCTAATTTTTAAGGAATTATTTTCTTCAGTTAGCTTTTATACCTTCTTTTCCATTTAACTTCTTAGCATCAGTTTCCTCATTTGTAAAATAGAGATAATAATATCTCCAATTCATAGTGTTTGCAAGAAGAATCTTATAAAAATGAATTTAAACTGCTTTGCGAACTTTAAAGTGTCATATAAATGTTAGCTATAAAGTAAGAGCACAAAAATCATGCCCTACCCTCACCCTCAGTATCAGTTCTATACGGCAATAATTCAGGAGAAAATAATGGGAAGGGAAGTCTCATTCAAAAATAACTACAAAATGCATAAACTATGAAGGAGTCCATCTACCAAGTCACACTTAAGAACAGTATAGAGATAATCATAAAACACTTCTTAAAAAATAAAGACAATTTAAATAACTGAAGGATTTTCTGTGATCATAGATGCATCTTGATAATAGATATGCCAATACAACCTAAATTAATTTACAGATTTAGTGCTACACTAAGCTGAGCTTCCTTCCTTGCAGCTAGATAAAACACAATTATTTTGGAGCAAAAAAATTTATATTCTCAAGGGAAAAGATAAAGGGTAAAATAGTACCTCTAGACACAAGAATATTAATTGTAAATATAGCATGTATTTATACTATTTCAAAAATAGATAAGTAGGTCAATGAAAGAGATTAAACAGAATTTTTAAAAATTGAAGCCAATCACCTGATATTCAACAAACCACAAAACATAAATTACATGGGAAAGCCCTCCCTATTTGGATAACTCTAGGAAAACTGGAATACAATTTGGCAGAAATCATGTTTATACCAACATCCATACTATAAAATACAAAAGAGACATGACTTGAATATTAAAGGTCAAAAAAGTTTTTAAAAATTATAAGAAAACCAAATTACTCATCTAAGTGTAAGAGGTACAACAACAAAAATCTTTTATCATTCCATATGACTATCAAGTGTTTCACATCCAAGATATAAGGAAATAACAAAAATAAATAAGACCTAATAGCCATTCCCTGAGTACCTAAACAAAGTGATCTCAAAAAAATCGTAAAATATAAACAACCATATTAAAGACAGCTTCAAAACATTAATTAAAAGAAATGCGAATCAAACCAACTCTAAGGATTTGCTTCTTATATATTAAATTTAAAAAAGATGACAAAAGATGGGAATAATCAATATTGTAATGGTTGTGATAAGACAAACACAATTAACATGCTGTTGGTGAAGTTGTGAAATGGTACCACTATTCTGCAAAGCAACTAGAAATTATGCAAAAGAAGTGACTAAAATGTCCATTCCTTTGGACCCAGAGATTTCACTGCAAGGCATATACCCAAGGAAGAGAGTGACAAAGAATGGACATTCCTAATTAGACTTGGAGTTCCTTCAAAATTTTTAGTTCTTTGGCTCACTCTCCATAGTGGATCTTTCAAATCTTTTTCATCCCTCCTCAAATTTGCCCTCACCCCAACTCTCTCAGCTGAGAACCTTGTCTCATATATATATAGAAGACCTTGAGGTCATTTGTTATGAGTTCTCTCTTCTTCCCTCTTCCTCATCTGCCACTTTCTCCTCTTCATCCATTTCACATAATGAAATGGCCTTACTCCTTACCATGGCCCTTACCCTTCTATTTGTTCTAGTGATCTCATTCTATCCCATCTCCTCTAGCAAGACTGCCCCCTCTATCCCTTATTTCCAAGCTCTACTTGCTCATATTCC